AAAAAGCGATTTTCAATTTTCTGTAGTTTATTGCACTTTTTGCAATTTATATAGTTATTATAGACTTAATGCATAGATATTATCAAAATTTGGGCTATAACGGTTATATTGATGTATAGCAACTTCCAAAAATGGCACTACAGCATGTAAAATTATAAAGATAACTCTCGCGGACTTGGTTCTATGGTCTTAATGGGTTCATAGTGGGTCAACTCCCAGGAGGGTTTAAATGCCTGGGACTTGCCACCTTCTGGTTTTAGACCTAAAGAAGCTTATTGGATGAGACGTGAAACATCTGCACGAAATTTAAAGAACTCCAGTCACCTTATTTTCCTTACAAGGCGCGCTCAGAACAGCCAGTATGTTCAGCTGCTGAAGACTGTCCCACTACCTAGAGTGTAATGTTTGGCACACTTCACCTGTAAAACAAAAGGAGTTTCACCCTCAGATTAAACACAATGAGCTTGAAAACTGACTTTGTTGGGTGATGAAATCATTTTTAAAATGATTGCTCCGTGCTTAGCCACCGCTGAGCGGCTGGTTGTCTTGTTTCCATTACTGCGTATAACAATATATTTTTTTAAAACCTTATGTCTTTCTTTCTTTAATTTTTACTTTGCAAACATCTCTCTGCATCTTACCTTTGTCCAGGTTCCTCCCCAGATGGGTCAGATGGGTGGGGTACCTGTGATGGCTCCTCAGCCAATGATGTACAACCAGCCTGTTCTAAGACCCACTAACCCCTTCGCACCCATGCCCGGAGCCCAGGTAACTCTCATACATTTTTAACATCTTAACAGCTGATTACTTTTAGGAAATTAAATGACGGGATTGAAAATGTTGGACTCAAAGTCACCCTGACCTTAATAATTTGGCGAGGCTCGGTGTGTTTGTTTGGCAGTGTGTTAGCAGGATTACTCAGAAAGTTTTGAATGAATTTGCATGCAAATTTTTCGAAACTTGAGGCTTGAACCAACTTAGAGAAGATTAACTGCTAATAACAGAGCTGCTCTTATTATGATTACAACATCAGTTTAAATTCTCACGTTCTTTGTGGGTGGCAAAACAGGAAGTTCATGCAACAACATGCTCTTACCAAGATTTCTGTTTTGATCAGTGACACTTTATCAGTTATGAGGTTTTATGAGTTGGTTGTGGATTTTGGGTTTTGTTTTTTTGGGGGGTTTTTAGAACCAGTTATCGGCCCCTGGTGTCCATTAAAAAGACATTAAAATGAAAATTTTAAGAATTTAAAATTCCTCGTTGGCCTCACTGTACACGACCAGGAGCTCCATCCATTTTATGCCTCTTTCCACTGGTACCTACTTGGCTTTACTTGAATCAACTGTGTTTCAGTTGTTTTCCATTATAATTGAGTACCAGCTCAATATGTGTTGGGTCGTTATAGCAACGCTTCCGCAAGTCTATGACATTTATAGGCGTCGCAATCATAACGCAACAATGGAGGACGTCGAGGTGATGGTGTTGATGGTCTATGGCTTTTTGTCAGACTCGACACCACGATTCTGGTTTTTGTGGATTTGAGTCATTGCAGAGCTTCAAAAATGGCAGTTTTTGTTTTCAATCTCGCTACTGAGTGACCAATCGATGACATGCAGTCTGTTGACCTCACATTTTCAGACTGGAACCTCGGCCCATCAGGTACTAAAAAGTAACAGCTACTACCACGTAATTGAAAACCGTAAAAGTCGAGTCGAGCTGAGAAGGTACGAGTAGAAAAGAGGCATATTTTCTGTGAAAATGGGCACCTCGTGGGCACAACACCAGATTTAAGGTCAACATTAAAGAGGTGACTCCAGGATGCTGGATGGCTAGAAATTTGCAACACTGAAATAATAAAAGGGAAACACTGAAATAGAAAGACAAGCACAGGTAGTTTGTGAAAAATAGTGGGGAAAAAAAAAGGTTTGTTTTTCCCCTGATTCCTTAAAGAAAATCCTCCCAACCTGTGACACAGATGTGTCGTCTTGAGTCACCCACAGAAAACCTGAGAGTGGCAGACTGGTTGAAAACAAAACCAGCAGTACATAAATAACATTTGGCACACAAAGTCCTCTCAAAAGCAACAAATGCATAGAAGACAGGGTAAAAAATGATCACCAGGTCAACTGTGTTTTCATCTGATAGCTTTTAAGAGGGCCGGGGAAGTTCAATTATTCAGCAATTTTTAGAAATGCTGGTATTTTTCATAGAAGTTTGTTTGTATTGTTTTTTTTTATCTCGTTTTATCTTGCCATTTTTCCTCACCCTCAGTTTTTTTTGTGTAATTTCCCATTGAGAAATTCGTTACTGCGGTCAGAGCAGAGTGTCAGAGGGCTTCTCTGTGATCAAAACAAACCGTTTCTCCTATCATGTTCTCTCTTCTTTGTCTGTTTAGATGCAGTTTATGTAATCCAGTCAGGAGGGGAAGCAGAGTGCCAAAAGCAACATACATACAAACAAACAAACAGCATAAACAAACACAAGAGGATGATGATGATGAGATGGACGGAAGGATGATTTGCTCAAGCTGAAACGACAGACTGACACAAGATAACCGGGCTGACACCAAAAGTCAAGTTGGAAAGAGGAAGAGAAGATGACGAAAAGGATGGACTGAGCGATGGCAGGGGTTCGATGGGGAAGATGTTACCCTGGCTGGTCGTTGTCTGAAACAACTCATTGCACCTGTGTGTGTGTGTGTGTAGCTTCTCTCTGTTTATTGTCTGATTTGTGTTCCTATCGATGGAGGGATGTTTCAGGAGAGGGAATAAGGACGAGAGAGAACGACGGGGAGGAGGGAAGAGGGGATTCAGGAAATCCTACCTCTAGTTTTCAGTCAGGCTAAATGTGTCTGACTGCTGTGAGAGTCTCTGCTGCAGAATTAGCTTTATTTCATACTGGTGCTATTTTGTCCTCTGTGGGTCACTGCTCGCCTGCAACGGCAACTTTGGAGCACTTACGAGAAGACAAGTGTTTGTTTTATTGTGTGTGTGTGTGTGTGTG